GACTGCAAATAAAGATATATTAGGAAGGTCTTGTATAACATAATGGCCAACTGCCAGTATGTTTTATTATAGAACTTATGCTGTTGCTTTTACTAAGCAGTATATTGGTCTGGAATGTAACATTACAAAGTCTCACATGAGTTATAGGAAGCTGCTACTTTCTCTTGTAAAAGGTTACTTGTAGAATAAATTTCTTAAGAGTATGCTCTTAAAATAATGAAACAGTGAGCAAAAAAAAAATGAGAGAGAATAAAGAATATAAGTCAATAAAAATAGCTGCTGCTTTAACCAAGATGCAAAACAACGTTCATTCTCTCCGAAGAGTTGCATTATGAAGTAACACATTTTTAGATGAAGAATAAACTGGGAACTTTCTTTTCCATTTATTACTTTACTTTGTCATAGATTTCTGCCAGGTAGCACAGGAGACTTGCTTAGTTTAGGAAGGAAAAGGAGGAAGTGCCATAGAACCGCAGGTTTGACAATGTCTGAAAGCGATTTTCAGAGAGCTGAGAGAATGCTTTAAAAATACTGTATCTGATGACTAAGATTGCTCTTTGTCACTCTGTACCAAAAGATAAGCTAGCTTTGTAGTTTGACTGTGAAAGGTGTCTCAGGCAACATATGAATTTGAGAGGAAAAATGCTTATTTTGGCTGAACCTGCCAGTGTATTACATTGAATGCATCATTTTGGTAATATATAGTCCTGCAGAAGGTACTGCCTCTCGAGGTAACGTGTGTTTGCTTGCTTTAGCACAGAGCTCTCTGCATGTTGCACCATTAATATTTTTTACTGGCTGCCTTGTGTGCATGTCAAGTTGAAAATTGTGGGTTTATTTCTTTTATCCTGCATGAACATTTCTTGTAAAGCTTTCTTTTCTTATGTAAATGCTGATACATTGATTAAGAATTGTTATAAATGTTAAACTTTTTAACGGTATACATTTTATGGTGTAAAGGGAAATTCTTTTTATAGCGTTTTTGTTTATGTACATAGCAGAGCGATCTTTTTCTCCAAGGATGCACACTGATCAAGTACAGATAGAATCTGTGTGTTAGTTCCTGTATATTGGACAACATTAATTTTAAGACTTTATTTGGAAATGACTAGGGAAATAACTGAAAAAGTCACGACATCATTAGTACAAGAGACAAAGATTTGTTTTGCTTTCTATTTACATAGGAAAACTCATGGATGGCATTTAAAACCATGAATGGATGGTATTTAAAACCATGATTTTTGATGATACTTATCTTAAGAAAAGCAGGAGAAGTAGAATAAAAACTTTGCTGTTCACCAAAGTTGACCTGTAGGTGCATGTTGGATAAATAAAGGGCTTTCCATTGTTTCTGTGGGAGGTGCCTTCACTTTTTGGTTCAGTTGTGTATGCACAAGGCTTTTGGTAGGTTTTCTGCTTTTGAGGTGACTGAATTGAGATATCGACACCACCCTGGGTTGTTGCAAATACTGTCTTATTACGATGAGTGAAAGCTCTTTGTGAATTCTGGACGTTATAGGAAATTTGAGTGGATGTTTATAGTTTATTATTGTGTTTAGAAACATTTTGATGGGAAAATACATTCTGTCACACTTCACAGTGTCTGAGGTCATTGGGGTTCCAAGTGTTAATCAAGAAATAATTTGGTGAGTTCTAGATCTTGCAAGTACAATCCCAGTTTCAGAGTTAGCCCTTTTAGTATAAACAAGCATCAGAGCAAAACTAAACAAACCAGATAGAATAGTAGGGATCCATTTTGGTGATATATTACTTCTCCAGTTCACAAGTTCTTGTATTTAAAAATAAACACTCTTTCCTCCTTTTCTTCCAGCTGGTGTTTTGAGGGAATTCTTTCTTAATTATTAAGTTGCATACTGCAATAGTGGATCTAGAAGTTATCAAGGCTGAGCAGGGCTTTTTCTGTATGTGCGAAAGAGAAGCAGAAAAGTTTCAAACCAGAAATTAGTGCTATTCTGAGTGTTTGAAGGGAGCTGCAGGTGAGTGAAATCTAGCAATAAAAGTGGAAGGTGTGTGTGACTGACTGAGGACTACTGAGCATGGAGCAAAACACAAAAAGTCTATGTAAGACTGGAGGAGAGGAGATCTGATGACAGAGTAGGGAACAGCAAACAAGTAACTGGCTAAAGCAGAATTAGAGGCCCTCTTTTTACCATTAGTTTTCACAGGTGTATTTATCTTAACCATCTTTAAATTACTGTACATTTTATTGTTATAATGCAGTTATAAAGATCTCAATCTGGAACCCCCTGACTTAGAACAGGGAACTTGAAAGATTGCCCAATTTGAGTGGTGTAAAAAAAAGAGAAAAAAATCTAGAAACCTGATAAAAGATACAGTTGTTGTGTTGATGAGATGCTCAAGGCTGCTCTGGAGGTCATCTCAGAATGTTGGAAAAAGCTGTGCACGGCCCTCTGCTTGATAGCTCTCTCAACTGGTGCTTTAAAGATGCTCCAGAAAAGCAACAATCACCTCACTCAGTCCTAATGTGCTGTTTTGCAACATCCTTAATTTCTCTAGTATTTCTTAGGATTTCTAAGGTTGGGATTTCAAAAATAAATAATTTAAGTTAATCCTGAACCCAAACAAGTCACTCTACTTGGCTTGTTGATTAGAGGCTGTGAGAATTGATAGAACTGTAGTACAAAATCTTGGTTGATTATGTTGAATAATCTTTAGTCTGGATTCCTGAAACCATCAAGTGAAGTTCCTTGGGCTATGTTAGATTTTAAATCTTTAATATTCATGATTATTTAAAATACATTTGTGCTTGTATCAGCCATACGAATAAGTGGTAACTGCATCCTAGTGGTTTGATAGAAATAGGGACATTTGCAGATCTTTTGTATATGTACACACTTTATATGGGGAACCAAGTGCTAAAATACTTTGTCATACTTTTTTTCTTGTGAGGGAAATATAAACCATTTTCACAATATTTTAGGTGAAGAGTTTTCTAGACTTGTTCTACAGTTTTCTGCCATGTAGAGCAAAATCTAGAATAGAAAATAATTACCAGAGAAAGCAGTTGGTAACCTCCCTTTTTTGACTTCAGTAGAGATAGTAACTCTTATGGCTCACAGAAATTGTATTGTGGTAAGGCTCCCTGGATGTGTTAAAAGTTTTAGTAGCATTTTATCTTACATGCTTTATAGTCAAGTACTAAAGACTAGAGCATACCCTATGAAATCATTTGTGGCCTGAATAGCCAGAGAGTGATTCCTTTATATAACAGAGAATATAGGCACTTATTAATAGTGAATAAAGTATTTGCCTTTTAGAAGTAAGGGGTTAGATGATAGTCTTTGTGTCAATGAATTGCACCTTTTCTTCACAGGTTCTTTTGGGGAAATGGAGAGATTCTTTCTGATGTTGTCCCTGGAAGTGACAGGTTGCTGTGATGTGCATTACCGAAATGGCTGGCAGTCAAGAAAAAAAAATGCTGTTGACTATTACTTATTTATGGCATCTTTACTGATGCTTTTCTTGGAATATGCTCCACATTTTTCTTGCTTAGACTTCCCTTTTATGTTTCTGGGGAAGTTAAGCTTTAAAGATAAGGTACATAAAAACTTGAGTGAATGTTTGGCTGTGGTGCAGTTAGAGTTAGAGATGTTCTGGTAAAAGAAAGCAAACACCGTGGCCAGCTGCTATTTCAGATCCTCGGGACAATTCTTTATTCGTAGTGATATGTACCATACAAATTAAAATGCAACTGAACAGCATTGATGGTAATGTTCAATGCCGTGTATTGTTTTTCCTTCTTTTTCCTGTCAGTTAAGGGTAACTATATGCACACTTTTCAGACAAACTCCTACTTCTCCCTTGTCTGTGTGCTGGGATTTCCTGCTGCTTTTCTAGTCTGTTAGTGTATCTTGTCACGCTTAGGAGTGCTTTATAGTGCTTTATAGGAGGAATTCCTTCTCTGTAAGATTCTTAGCAAAGCTTTGATGTTGAGAATATAAACCTTTGTGTTTCTAGGTTTCATCTATTTTTTAACTGCTAGTGATTAGGATAAAATTTTACTTGGGACGTGGAGTAGGATTCAATACTTTGTTTTGAAGTACCTGCCATTAGTAACCATCACACAGGCTTGGTGCTAGACTCAGAAGACTTCTCAGCTGTTCCAATATGAAATATTTTACTTCCGTTGTTTCTCAGTTAGGTCTAGTCAGTCGGATATTTGGTAATTTATAATTATAACACACAGTGAGGTAAATGATACTCAGATGACAAGAAAGTGTGTACCTTAAAATACTCACAATATAGATTTTTTTTTTTTTTAAAGTAAAGGCTAAATACTCATAGAACCTGTTCATTTCTAGTGCTTTGAAAAGGGCAATGTTTTCCATTGAGATTTCAATCTCACTTGTAAAAGTTTCATTTCAACAGAACTATGCTTTGAAAATGTGCTGTATGGAAGAGGTTTTTGCCATAGAAGACTTTAATTCAGCCTTCTTGATTAGCTTAGGTTTACATTCAGTACAGTTGAATTGTGTATTTGTGATGAGGTATGCTGTGATCATCTTGTGTATTTTAGTTCTCTTTTATGCAGTTATTAGTCTTAAAATAGTTCTCTAATTGCACTCTATGGAAAGACATAGCAATTACTAACATCAAAGTGCATGCAGCAAACTGAAGATTACAGCGCACAATACCATTAGAAACCTGTTTTTGTTCATAGATTACCATTAGAGATGCTCAGTTTAACGGTGAGTATTTGTAGCGGTTACCCCAAGGTACCCAAGCAGGTACCGCTGTTTGCTTATGTGTTTTAATATACAGACTTTCAGGCTGGTGTAGAAGCTTTCATAACAGGAAAAGTTAAATTGACATTTCAAAAGATTTCTCCAAAATAATATATTTAAATCTAGAGGAGTTTTAATTAAAAACCCTTATGAAAAGGGTAAACATTAAATGTTTCTTGTAGTGTGTATAGCTTATATTCTTTCTCTGATGGTAATTTTTTATTACTTCTACAGGTTCAGTCCATGCTACGTCAATAGCAGCTTCCAGAGTGGAGCAAGCGTTGTCTGAGGTTGCTTCATCTTTGCAAAGCAGTGCCCCCAAACAAGGTCCCCTGCATCCTTGGATGACTCTGGCTCAAATCTGGCTTCATGCAGGTATTGTTAAAGAAAAATCCTTTCTTTCTCTTCCTCTTTTTTGTTCTCATTGTCCCTTTATTGTTAGCCTAAGAATCTGTTATCACTCATCATATTAAACCTCGACATCCTAATGCGCACTCAGCACTTATAATTTTTCTACATTTTTCAGAAAAATAAACTTTTTTTTATTTAGAAAAATGGCAGTTGGTGTGAATGAAATGTGCTATTTATTTTGTCTAAAAGGCTTGCATTTTCTTTTCATCATATCAGACCTAAATATTATGGAATTCATTATGAATATATTGTGTTTGTTCATATAAAATAATTACTTTTTTCTCCCCTTTTAAAATGTTGTCATTAAGACTTAGCCACTAAACAAATGTTAGATCTTGAGATAACGAATATGACAGTTTGCTGTACAAAAAAGCATTATTTGCTCTTATAACTGAAAAAATAGGGATAAATATATTGTTTATATAGATGGAAAGAGACTGCAAGTTATTTTCAGAAAGCGAATACATGTTCATGGTATCTTCTTCCTGTATTTCCATTATATGGAAGTATTTATATTGTGGAAAAACAGTAGCTAAAGGTGCTGCTATTATTTAGTGGTACTGATTGGAGTGGAAAGCTACCTGTCTGAGGTGGTAGGTGTGCGCAGTTTGTGTGATTCCTTGTTTTCAAAACCAGGTATTTCCTTCTGTCCTTTTCAGCAATGCATGTTTGGAAAGTAAAGGAGATTTGTGGCAGAGGCAAAAGCAGAGTGGGTCAAAATCTCTGCGATGCTTCTAGGATGACCCAGTCAAGTGTTATTTTTTGTGCAAACTATTAGGACTGCAAAAGAGGAAATAATGTGTACCTATTACTCATCTCTGTATTTTTCCTAATTGAGTGACTGTTTTGGTATTTATAATTGGCACTTAAAACATTTTCATGTATTTCGGAGGATGTTTCTTGATGTGTTTTTGCTAATGTAAGAGAGAGATATGTATTAGTGACACTGAGGCAAGCCCGGAAATGGAAGGCGTGTTAGAGTTGCTCGAGTGTGTAAGATGTTCTATATCAGATGAAGCCGTAGTTTGATAATGCAGCTGCTAAGGGTTGACTCATACCTTCTGTAGAACAAAGCAACACCATGTTCTGTATTTTTAAAGAATTTAGTCTCGGGAGTTTATTGACCAACTTACTATTTCTAAATCTAATTCCACTGCAAAAAAAAGATGCATATAAAAGTACTAGATAGAGTTGCTGAAGCTGGAAGTTCGTTGTTGAAAATAAACAACTTTGCAAATGTGGCAGAAAAGAGGTTTAGCTCAATTTTACCATTGAGCAACCTGTCCATTGCAATGGTGATAGTGAGCTGTTTGGTTCTGTTCTTTCTGCTTTCACTACTGTGCGACACTTGGCACCTTTTTCAAGTGTTGAGTGATCTTGAGTGCATTTGGTGGGATTATGATACTTCCAGCCTCAAACTACCTCAAGGTAAGAATCGCAGGTGATTATTGCATAAAATTTTAAGCAGAAGATGATGTTCCACTGTATTCTAGGATAGTTAAAAATGTACAGACTGCATTTGTTCTTAGTATTTACATTCAAAGGGTCTAATTAATAAATCATTCAAAAATTACTCAGTTTTGGTCTACTCTTAGACATAAACTTATTCAATGTTATAAACATTCTTATGTTTTAAATAAATCTTGTAAACATTCAATGTTCTAAGTATATTTTTCGTTATATTCACTATATGGTGTACAGTCATTATATTTTTGCTAGAATCTTTAATATAAATGGTAACTATATGTTAAAATTCTTCAAGATATGAATCATCTAGTAAATCCTACTGAACTATCTGGAAAGAGTTGCATCCTTTTTGTGTGTGGGTTTTTTTTTTTTTTTTTGTGAAGTGTTGGAGCACAGAATAGGTAGTGAGGTAGATTGAGAACGGGCTGAACGGCAGAGCTCAGGGTCTATTTTGAGGCCTGTTGCTAGCTCAGGGATCAACACTGGGTCCAACGTGGATGAAGGGACAGAGTGCATCTCAGCAAGCTGGGTGATGATGCAGACCTGGGAGAAGTGGCTGGGCTGCTGCTCAGAGGGCCCTCAACAGGTTGGAGAGATGGAACCTTGTCAAGTTCAGCAAGGGGAAGTGCAGAGTCCTGCACCCTGGGAGGAATAGCCTTGTGCTCCAGGGCAGGCTGGGTGTTGGCCTGCTGGAGAGCAATCCTGCAGAGGAGGACTGGGGCCTGTGAGCCAGCAGTGTGCCCTGGTGGCCAAGAAGGCCAGGGTTATTCTGTTCTGCATTAGGGAACACTGCCATCAGGGAGGTGATCCCTGACCTCTACTGAGCTCTGGCAAGGCCATATCTGAACTACTGTGTCCAGTCCTGGGTTCCCCAATACAGGAGAGACATGAAGCTACTGGAGCAAGTGCAGCAAAGGGCCACAAAGAGGGTTAAGGCACAGGAGCATATCGTGTGTGAGGAAAGGCTGAGAGCAGCCTGGAGAAGTGTTAAGGGAGGCATCTTGTCAAGGCCTGTAAGTATCTAAGGGAGGCTGTAAATGACAATGGATGCTTTTCAGCAGTGCCCAACGATAGCTAAGTATCTAAGGGAGGCTGTAAATGACGATGGAGCCAGATGCTTTTCAGTAGTGCCCAACGATAGAATGAGAGGCAGCAGACACAAACTGAAACACAGGAAGGTCCATCTGAACTTAAGGAAAAGCTTCTGTATTCAGAGGGTGACTGAATACTGGAACAGGTTGCCCAGAGAGGTAGTGGAGTCGCCACCCTTGGAGGGAGAGATTCAAAAGCCTTTTGGATACTGTCCTGGGCAGCAGGTTGTAGGTGACCCTGCTTGAGCAGGGCTTTGAGCTAGATTGTCTCCAGAAGCCGTATCCAACCTCAACTGTTCTGTGAATAAGACTTGTACCAAGAAGCACAATAAAAAGCAGGGCAGGAGTTTGTTGTTGTTGTTTTTAAGGGTCTTTATTGCTATATATAGGTTACTTGCCTAGAGAGCAGCAGTAAAGTTACATAACACCTAACTTATAACACATGTTCTTTAAATAAAAGTGAAGTGAATAAAAGTAAATTGGGATATTGCTTCCTTTTTGAACCTCATGACATGTCTTAACTGTTTGACTCTCTGTAGAGTTGGGTTGCCTTTTCTTTCTTTTCTGGGAAGAGAGAGAGAGAGAAAAAAAAAGAATATTAAATTAACTTTAAATGTAAAAACTGAGAATTATTCCCCCCATAGTATGGACACAAAGCAAAATTATGTAATAAGTTTTAATACACACTAAATTTAATAGGTTATTTTTACTTGTGCTATGGTATATAACGTGAGTGAGAACGGATGAATGAATGCTTTGTCTTATACATATGCACTGTTCTAGCTGTCATCAGTGGCAGAACTATAAATGAGCATGGCATTCAGTTAAAAAAAAAAGTGGAACATAGCTTTCAGACCTTCATTCCTGGGAATAGACTGTAATGGTAAAAAATTAGGCTTATTTAAAATATGAGAAAACGTACTTTCATAATTCAGATGTTCTCCAGTATCTCATTTATCCATAGATAGTCTCTTGTGGTGCTTTGAGAAATACAGTAAGACGGAACTCAATGCTGCTAGGTAGCTTTACTGGAAAGCACATTTATTTCTCAAAAATATGTGAGCCTAAATATTGAAAAAGCTTGACCTGGGAGGCATTCTCTAGGTGGAGACATTGAGAAGAGCTTATCAGACTTGGTACTTCATTTCTTTTGAAAATGTTTCTCCTCTGAGAAATTCCTAAAACTCTGGTGAGAATTTTTAGTCTTCCACAATTAATTTGTTTGAAATTGCCATGCTTTTTTGTTCGTGCTTTGAAGTCATTCCTAGTTTAGCCCTATCTAGTTCTGCTCTCTGTTGTAAGGCATGCCCTTGGCCTTGCAGGCATCAGATGAAATTCTCTCAGAACAAACAGTTCTCCTTCAGTTTCAGAAATTTTTCCAGAATAAATTCTTATCTTTAGCAGCCAGGCTAAAGCAGCTAGGAGTTCAGCCTTCTATTTGTTCTGTCATAGCTTATCCAAACTTCTCTGGAATTTATAGAACAAAAATCACTATAGTCTGTTAAAGGTAGTATAAGTTTTGGTAGCGAAAAGGAGGATTTTTTTTTAATAACTCTCTTTATAATATGCTTTTAAATAAGAGAACTATTTGTTTACATTTCTACTTATAGGAAGATCTTTAGTTGTCAAGTTTCTTTTTCACAGTTAATAAGCAGGACAGCAATATTTAATATCTGATAATGTAAAATAAGACTAGCTTTGTAAGCAATGTTGTTCCCCTGTTGGCTTACATTACATCCTTACTTTCCTTTGAGGAGCAGAGTTTCAGCTGAGGTGTTAACTCAGCCAAACTATGCTCAAACTTCCAGTTCAGAGTTGCGGCGACAGCAGATTAAAAATGACTTAAGTAGGTAATTAATTTCTGTTTGTTATTTGCTAGTAATAGCTTTTGCCTGGTTGCTTTCATAGTCTGATCTGTGAAGTTGTGGTATACTTCTTCATCCACTTCTGCTTCCTTCTACGATACATTCAAAGCAAGTTTAAAAGCACGAGTCATATGTCTCATGAATACATCTCAAGGTCTTTTTAGGATGGTGTTCAGTAGGTGATATTTTACCTGATACTTTAAAGATGTTTTTCTTTAGTTGGTCGTGAATTGTGTGAATATTTTTCTTGTGTTTTCATCTGCAGCTATGATTGCATGTTAAAAAAAATATGCTTATGTGCTGATGATACTAGGGAGCAAATAAGGAAGAGGGGGAAAAAAATGTTAGCACTAAAATAACATAGTGTGTTTTATACTTACTAAAAATCTCATTTCTCACCTAGTAACATTGACCATATAGTGCAGCTTTAGAGCAATCCACGTTTTATTCTGTATATATAAATCAAGTATCAAGTTATGGCAACATCTTGTTCTTCAGAAGCTACAAACCCTTAGTAAAAGGTAAATCCTAGAAAGGCTACTTAAAATCTCCAGATTTAGATTTCAAAAATACTTCCCTTTGCTATCTCCCAGGTTTACTATTCTTCACTTATATAGTCCGAGCATCTCTGACTAAGCGAGAATCTTGGTTGCTGAATCTGCAGTTTTGTGTGGGTGGGAGTGAGGAGGAGGCTGCCCAGACCTTGGAGTTGTGTTTGCACCTTGTCTTTCCACATTCCTGGATGGTGTGGGGCTCTTTTGTTGTTGTTTTTATGTTTGTTTGGGGTTTTGTTTTGTTTTGTTTTTATGCATTTCTTCCTGCACTCCCTCCCTTCCTTACAGAAAACTACAGGGAGACTCTTCACTGATTTTGGAGCCAGTGTCAGTATCTGCCCCATTCTCATGCCAGTAGCAACTTCGCTTTCTTTTCCCTTACTTACTGTCTGAAATCCTTCCTTCCCCTTCCCACAGCTCTTCACACCCCCATTAGTATTACTGTACTTGTCTTCACTTTTGGGAAATCGGGAAATCTCATTTTGTACATCGTAATCCTTAATCTTTCTTACCTTTGACCCTTTTCCTCTACTTTTCCATGTATGTCATTTGGTTTTTGCTAATATCCATATATCCTTTTTGAGGCAATGTTTCATGCATCTAACAGTTGTATCTCCTTTTTTGAAAAATAATTTCCAAATAATTTCTATAATAATTTCCAAATAATTTCTCAAATTTTGGTGAAGAAGACACTAAGACCCTACTCAGAACTTCAGGCCATTACCGGAGTGCCTGGAAGGCAGGGGATGAGCTCCACTAAGCAGTGAGAGAAGCGCGACTTGGACACAGCTGCGTCACTTGGCCCTTTTGATGGAAACCTCTGACTTGAATCTTCCTCTATAATGTGGATATCCACATACAACATGATACAATAGCATGCAGTTTCACAGTTAGGGGCTCACTTTTTCTGGGATTCTACCAGTTTGAAGGAAAGGGAACGTTTAATGTCCTTCTTCTTGCGTTTGATGTCTCTCCATTGCACTCCTTTCCTCTCTCAGCGATGGACCAGCAAAGCATTGATACGTGCACTGTTGAAGAGTGCTTGAAGAGGTATTGAAGACTAATACTGTTAGCTGTTATTCGCTTAATGAGTGAATGAACTTTTTCCTGTAATCAGTCTGACTTAGACAGCTGTGTGTAAGGCTACCTGGTTGTTTTCATCAAGAGTGATGAAAACAGTAAGTACAGATTTTATAAAGCCACGGAGTGAAGTGTTCTTAGAAAGTTTGTGAAGAATGCCTTAAATAAAAAATGCTTGGAAATATTGAACATTTTTCTTTTTCTAATCAGAATGTCAAAACTCATATGTTCTGGTAACTTGACTGGGAAGTTTTTGTTCATGACATAATAGAGTTTTTTCCTCTGACGTGTAAAGATGATAGCAATAGCAATTACTGCTTTTTCCTTAATTGCTGGCTCGCAAGGTTCAGGCAAGTCCTTAAGTAGCTCCTTTTTCTTACCCCTGTTTTTCTGCTTTGTAGCTTTGTGTTACTTCTCTTTTTCCTACTCCCTAAATAATACTGGGATATATATATACACACACAGGTTCGAAAAAAAAAGAAAATCCCAAATTACCTTTAACATCAATAACAAAAAACTGTTTCAGATTTTTTTCTTTAGAACAGCCGCTGTGGAGGGTAAAATTCCTATTCCATTTAGAAAAGTTACTTACTAATTAATTACAAGTAAATAATATAATAGCTGCTTGTAAACTTCAAAATGTCTTCATTTATAATGAAACAATGTAGAAATATAATATCTACTGTAACATATATTCATGATATGATGAAGCATTAAAAAAAATTCACTGGTCCTCACTCCTTCCTTGTGCAGCTGAAGTCTACATAGGAATCGGGAAGCCAGCGGAGGCCACAGCGTGTACCCAGGAAGCTGCTAATCTCTTTCCCATGTCGCACAACGTTCTCTATATGAGGGGCCAGGTGGCTGAACTCCGTGGAAATATCGATGAAGCCAAACGCTGGTATGAAGAGGCCTTATCTATTAGTCCTACCCACGTGAAAAGCATGCAGAGGCTGGTAAGTCTCTTTATATAAAGTATGTGTCTCCACCTATTATGTTTTATTGTGAAATCTTGAAGAACTTCACATGGATGCTCCATAGCTTATATGATTTTCTCCTAAGCTATCTGTAGTAAAATGATTTCAAAAAGAGTCATCTTTTCTGTGTCTTCTGAGATCACGGAACTATGAACTGGATCTGAAACAATACGGCAGGAGAGAAGTTAGATACTCTAGAGGAGAGAAAAGCCCCTCTGTTGCCTAGTCTTATACTAAAGGATGAATTCTTTGCACTGATTACATTCATCATATGTGATTATTTTAGATGTTATGAAAAAGAGTGAATTGAGCTTTTCCTCAAAACAATATGTAGCATAAAGTACGAAGTTGTCTCTTTGGTACAGCAAATGTTGCCTTTCGTTTTGAATTGTTACAAATATATGTCCCTTTTTCTTTTTTGTTGTTGTTTATTGTTTTTTTGTTTATGATGTCGGAATTCTTGGAGAACATATTAGCAGGTAAGTAGGACAGGAATCATGAAATATATGGCTAGAAACAGTTGATGTTTCACTATAGATATATATATATAAAATATGAAAAAATCAATGCTTATAAGGTTTTTTTTATTAACACCTGTGCAGCACCTTCACCATTTACTTACAAAATTGAATATAGCAGAGCATCGTAGGTCAGATCTTTCATTACTTTTATTATTGTATTGATTTTTTCCTCCCTCTCCCTACTGTATTAGGAAAATCACTTTTTTCTTTACTCTTTTTTTTCCAGAACAGAATAGACTGCAGGATAAGCTAGTTTCTGCCTAGGTGCTTATGAATTATTCAGAAAGATTTCTTGTGCATCCCTAAGGGGAACATATGAGACAAAAGATCATCTAAGAAGACAGCACAGGAAAGTTTTGTGTTTCACCTTTTCAACTTCTCAAGATATCTGAGCCTATGGACAAATGCTCCGAGGTTCCTTTTCTGAAGGGCAAGCAGTAGACCTAAAACTGTGCAGTTCACTGAAAACAGTGTTCACACTCTGTTTGTGTGAATATCTTTGCATCTCCGCACTCTTCTATTCTATTTTCCTGTTTATAGTAAAAATATGTGGCTTCAGAGGTAGGTTAGTTATAGTTACAGCACCATGGAGATACTCTGTAACAGCAGCTGGAGCATTAGCTTGTGATATTAGTAATCACAGTACCCAGCTATACAAATAAACAAACAAAATACCTTAAAAAAAAAACTTTTTTTCCTGTGATTAATATCGTATTTACAGATTATTTTATATGTCTTTCTAATAATGCTTACGAAATAGTACAAAATGCTATTATTTAGACATATCAGTTACTTTAGAGCTTAGGTTTATTTAAGGACTTTTGGCAAACTTTGTTATTTTGGCAAATATCAAGTATAGAATATAATAACTTTGTGTAAAATAAAGAGGAAAAAAAAAACCTAAGGTTGGTCCCAAAAGTTGCATCATCTAGCATATCTCCCTATTCAGGGAGATATGCAAGATATTTCTTGGCTTATGAGCAAAAATTTGTGATGTCCACTGCTAGTCTTCCTGAAATGTGAAGTTGTGAAGAATTTTGGGATAACCTTTTTGTGAAGTTTGAATTCAGAGAGTTGATAAGATGCTGATAACGTTGGTCAGCTCTGAAATGCTGAAGAGGTTTTACCTTTAAGTGAATAAATAGGAAGCATCTTAAATTGGTAAAAATGGCAAAACCACCTCATAAGATAAAACAAACCAAAGTGCTGGTAAAAAAAAATAAAATAGCATCAGTGAATTAGAAATAAGCCTCTAAGAATAGAGGGGATTCTGTGTGGAGTAAACTAAAGAGTTATAGTGAGCAAGCTGTCTAATGAAGTTAGAAAAAACTAAATACATCAATTAGGAAATGTAAACTCTGAAGGCTGAATCAGTCTTGCATGATTGAACCGAACTGTGAGTGCCTGGGATTGCCACGTGAGCCGACAGGAAGAAACAAGACAGATCTGAGTGAAGCCACGTGCGGTCCGACAGCAACATGTCTGTGTTTCCCAGTAGTAGTGCCCTTTTCGGGACTGAAAGAGGCACTGGGATCTTCATTCAAAGTGAGACTTGGTAGGCTGCTTAACTGCGCTCTGTGTTGGTCACTTGTTGCCAACAGGTCGTCTTCAGAATTACAGTTTTCCATCACATAGTTCTCTACTCTTTATTTAATAAAGCAGTATTTTAAGAGGGTTTACTGTATGTCAGTTAGCTATACTTTCAGGTCAAAGAAGCTTATGAGCATTTTCACTGGATCAGGCAAAGAAACAAGTATGATGGCTCAGACTCTTCTCCAAAGAGTTTTATATATCTCAACTTTCAGATTTTAATTGTTACGTCCATGTGTGGCGATTATATTCAGGTAGCAAAAATACTCTCAAGTAGAATTGACTGAAGAACTCTCTTATTAAACTTTCCAAATCTACCACTATAAGGAACCTTTACCCTGTACCGTTTGATCAATATCTCTCCACAATCTGCTTCCATCATGTCATTTGCAGAGATGTTGAGTGTCACGAGGCTGGGAGCCAACTGCTTTAGAACTTCACTAGTACTTCCTGTTGGATTTGGATGAGGTTTCTTGCTTACCATCACAGTCAGCTACTCGTTGTTCGCGGTTGCCACAACTTCCAAATAATGCAGTTGCTACTAGGTGCTGAGCAGACCCTCCAGGGTGACTCCTGCAGGACTCGACTTGTGTGAGGCTGGGCTTGTTGGCTGTAGCTTAGACTTGACTGTGCCAAACCTGAGCTGGTTCTATTTGAGTTCAGCTGTGTGCAACTATATTGCACTCCCAAGGCAAAGAATCTATTTGCAAGGAGATTTCAGCTGGCTCAGGCTGGAACCAATTAAAGTGTTCAAGGCTTAAATACCTTGTGCTCTGCACCATGGAAAAACAGGTCCCAAAGCTTGTTTTGGGAGCTCAACTGGGCACAAATTTATGCAGGTTGGAGTGCTTCAGGAGCAGAGCCAAATCAGTGGCTCTGAACTGAAGCCATCTAGAGAAACCATTCACAGATAATTGAGTTGATTGTGTTACTTTAAGGCTGGCAGTCAGTCCACCCGTTTCTAGTACACATCTGACACCGATTATTTATGCTGACTTTAGAGACAGGTTTTGGGGCTGCAATGTCTTGATTATATGTTGTTATATGTCCCCAGACTAAACTTTTAGTGACTTTTAGCTAGCTAGAAGGGACATGATTGGGGAATGTATTTGGGTATTTTCTGAGAATCATTGCATAGAGAAAAGCACTTCCTGTTCATATGATACCAAAGAGGATACTGCAGGAAAAACTGAACCCTCATGTTTTCATGGGGCTGTGCTAGCTGGCCAAGCATGTAGTTTTTGGCACAGAGCTTGGAAGCCGCCACAAGGCGTGTTGCCTGTTGCCTAGTGCATATTGATGGGGCAGAGGTGTACACAGAGGTTTTTTTGGGGTGCATCTTGAATATGAGGAGAAACTACGGGTCTGTAGGAGCAGACATACAGAGAGGTAGCTCTCAGGACTGTGGAAGGGCTGAAGGTACGCAGGAATTCTCTGTACAAAATCAGACCATGTAAATTGTTTCTCAAGCATGCGTAGTATTGATGATGTGGGTCAAAGAACATATCTATGCAGTTGAACTCCTCGATCCTGAGGACATTCATACTGTACCTCTCAACAGGCCAAATGTGAGCCTGCATCATATGGGCTGTTGCATGAGCACAAATGGAAAGCTTGGGACCGCTTGGCTGGTTAGGAACCTCTCATGGTTCTGAGTACTGTGTTCCCTTCTAGTGCAAACTTCAACAGGTTGGTTTAATTTTTGTGCTGAGAAGGATTGGAAGAGGCTTACTTTCAACTGAGGCCCGTACCAAAAGGTGTGCGATGGCAGTTGCTGGTGGGAGATGTCTCCCAGCTCAGCTCTGGGTCTAAGAGCTTTTCCTGCACTTTGTTCCACTGCAGGGTAGCCTGTGGTTTTAAGCTACCTTTTCAGAGTGTATCCGAAAGCTTTCTTATAGATGTTTCAGCTGAGAGACTATTTGTGAAGTTACTCCATCATCTGTATGTTGAAAGATTGTTGCTGTGAGACCAAATGATTAAAAGCACAAAAGGAGCCTCATTAAACAAATACTGAAGAGATGCATGAAGACTAGTGGGTTTACTCTTGTGGCTTGAGAACCAGTGTGCTTCCTACCGCTGTTTACTCGTGGTCCTGTTCTTGGCAGTTTCGGCCCAGGCACTCGTGCATTTGTCTCAGGTGCAGGTTCCCCATGGCGTTCATGTGACCCTGCAGATGTGCCCTTAGCAGAAGTCTAATCTATTATGTGAATGTAGTTGCTTGTTACCAACCATTCAGAGCTGTTTGAACACTGTGTTTCTCTGAAGTTTTAATTTCCTCCCAAGCCAAATGGATTATTAATTATGCTGCTACCTCAAACTTCTACACTGATTTATCCCTTTTGTTTTAAAGAAGGAAAAAAACATGAGGACTTAGTGATGCCATGAAAATTGAAGCACTCAAGAGTGGTGGAAAATTTCTGCTGACTAGAAACGATAATGATAAACAACAGGGCTTGGAAAAAGAGGTTCTCTTATGTATCTGCACTAGCAGAGATGTGCCAAAGGCAACATGACACCAAATGCTGGGGAGCTGATCCATGAATAAAGGTCTATTTACTTAGCAATTTTTTCCCTATGTTCAACTGAACTTCTTGGCAAATAGAAGTGATTGGATTATACTGTTAAATTACCAAAGATTTGGGTCTAGCTTCAGCGGCTGTCCTTTTTGTTCCATATTCACTCCTCCAGGTTCTTCTAAAATGTGTTATTTGACCAACTGAGTAGGAACAGACGGTTCTTTAAAAGAGAAATGCTACTAAAATTCTCTTTAGTTGCTTGTTCATCTAAATTTTTCCCCATACTGTTAATATTTATATTCATACATTCACTCACTGTATTCTGTAAGGCTTTTTTCATCTTGCTCTGCCT